CGTGTTAATGTGGAATAAGCCTAGATGAATTAGCATTTCTGTATTTTAGCAGTTTCGTGTGATAAGCAGTTGGAATTCTGATAGAGGGGCAGTGATTCCGGAAGGCGAATTTTAAGTAACAGTTGTTCAGTCCATTAAAAACAAGTGTTAACTTTGTTAATAGTGCTTTGTTTACTTGCATATTCACCAACGCCTGGGCAATTTCATGTTAGAGGTGTTGTAAATGATTGGAGATTTGCAATCTTTTCAAACAAGCGATTTAAAAGTAGAATATATTTCGCGACTAATGACATCATAACTAGTTTAAATCAGCCGTTGAATCGATCTGTGCGAAGCTGCACTCGCACTTGAAAGGTCAAGCCTATAATTTGCCTCAGTGCTGCTGTAGGCCAATGCCCTGCTCCTTCCGCTGAGCATTGTATTGCACTTGGCCGTGCGTCATGCGGCCGGTCTTGTGGCATCTGCGTCTCTGGTCCTATTCAACAATTTATTGTTGTTGAAAGCCGTCTCACTGTAAGCGTGCATTCTTTGATTACGGTGGCACAGTAGTAAGAAGTCGGCTGTCGAAGTCCGGAGATGCCGACCGGTTCGAGCGAGTCTCGAGAGAAGACAAAATTTGTCTTAACGGCGAATTCCGGTGAGCGAAGAATTCACCCCACGTTGCGTTGGTGCAACCTGCCGGGAAACGGCTAGCTAGCCAGTCGGTGACTTGCACATAGCAGGGACATCGTTGGGTTCTGATGTGGGCAGGCCAGAATGGGCGAGAGCTATGGCCATGCTATCTGAAGCGAGCGCCCAATGTGGCTGTAACTTGCCTTGGCCTAATTGGCAGCTCACTAACCCAGTGTGATAGTCGGCACGAGGTGTAACCCCTGTTGTGTTGTTATGTCGTGATCTGCCGTTTCAGCCGGCTTCTCAGTTGGTCTTGTTCTCTCGCTAGCGTTTCCATATTCATAGCTTTTCGACGGCAGAAGTGGCCTCTTCCTGTCTAAATGCTTTATTCATCTCGTCCAATTCGCTTTCTGCCTATACGAGGTAGATAATGGTAGCATCCTTATTATCTAGTTATTTTATTTTCATTTCTTTCGAGTATGCCCCGATCTGAGATCACAACGCTGGTCATATTGAACAGTTTACAACCGATAGTGCAAGGCAATCGGCAAGAAGCTCAACAACCTGCACTCAACGTGGTTTCGCACTGGTTTCTTGCATTGCTGCATCACGCGAGTACTCGCCAATATCTGTTGCAAGGTTAAGAGTACACGCGAAACCTCCGTTATGCGTTACGAGTAGGTTTATGGAAATTTTTTCGTTCCTCCGTCAATCGAGGTTTCGGGTCTCACTGCTGCCTGCCT